AGCTCTCGTGAAACAATCAGCTTAGCATCTTCTTCAAATAGAAAGATGTTAGCAAAGACAATGGTGGCTTCGCAAATGGGAGAATGCCGTGACATCGAAACATCTCTTACATCGACTTGCTTGAGCAGCACCTTACTGAGCCGTGGGTACTGCTTGCGTAGCTGCTGCATGCAACGCCGTCCAAGGGAGACGAGGTCCCTTCGCACCTCGATCCCGATGCACGTTCTGACTTTCGTTGTAAGTGCTACCTGTGCAAGCACGTTGCCAACACCAGCTCCAACGTCAAGGAAGACGTCAGCTTCGCCGAGCGGTCCGACGGCAGCAAGTAGAAGGGTGACACCGGACGGTAGCACCTCACCAGCATTGTCATATGTGCGCCCAGCGGGATGGCGAACGTCGTGAGCGCTTATACTTCCGAAAATTATATCCACGGCTTCGGCAGCTTCAGTTGAGTCCAGATTATCTCCACAGCCCCCAACACCAGCACCTACACACACAGGTTAGTATTTGCCGACGTCATTTGTGAATCAAACAATCCGAGACTCACCTGAAGCGCTTTTCGCCTGAGTCACCTGTGGTTGACGGCATCCCCCGCAATCTCGCGCAATATAGCCGCCTGCGGGTCCTGTATCCTCACCTCTGCAGTCTTGGTTTCCCTGATCCACGTCGTCTGTCACCTGACTGCCTCCGGCGGCGCTCCCATGCGTATCGCCACCAACTTATCGTCATCAGTCTCACAAAAGGCATGCAAATATCCCCAAAACAGACAAACCTGGCATGCGGCGATCGCCGCCGAGAAGTAGAGAATTTGACGGAGTAGCAGAAGGTCGGCATGCTGGTTTACGACTTGCTGCAAAATGAGGAGTGGTGGTGGTGGTGACCTCAGCGCCCCGAGAAGACGCCTTGATGGCATGCCGCGGAGAAAACATGGCGGAAAGCCCCTAATCGCCTTTCCGTAGGTCCGCTTGAGGCTAGCCAGCCGAAGCCGCAGTTGACGGGCCGGCCGCTTGGTCTGCATTCGGCGGGCCACGTAGGCCCATGTGATTCGTAAGCCCTCCCTTTCGAATTGGAAGGCGATCTGCACCAGCAGCTTATCTTCAGTGTCTGTGAAGGTAGTGCGCATTAGTCTTGAGTACACTATAGAAAAATGGGAGGTCGGATAGGTGCATTCGTCTTGCCTTTTGTATGGTCTGGTGACTGGCTGTCAGGCGATTGACCGCTAGATCCATGTACGACCGCGTAGAAAGGGCCGATTACGGTCGTTGGAGCAATAAAATACTGTGCGATGACCAGACGATCCAAAATTACCCCCAACCTCTTTCTATTCACAGCTGCGATTGGTAGTTATAAAACACGGTTGGCAGAGTTGGAGGAAAAGCTAAAAGGGCGCAAAATTCGCCCTTTTACAAGCCCTTTTTCCACCTTGTTTTGGTAATGGTGTTAAAGGGCGAAAAATGCGCCCTCGCACCGCGAAAGGGTTAATACATGTATTAATAATCCACCGTGAAGCCCGAGTATCGATCCTGCAGAGAGAGAGAGTGAAATCAAGGAACGAGTCATGGTAGAAGAAGGTAGTCATCACAGGTCGTCGTAAAAGGCGATGTCTCACGTCAGGTTAGCTAGGCAAATCGACAGACCTTTCCTCCTTACTGCTGTCGTCAACGTACAGAAACGTTATTACTACTACATTCTACCTTTACTGCTATTCTACTACTTCCTAGTAGTATACTAGCGGATTTCACCGAATACATGTAGTTCACGGACTACTAATAATATGTGCCCCCTACCAGGTCATCAATTATGAAGTGGTAATAAATCGTGTAGGGCTTCTGATAATATGCATGTTAATATGGGCGGTCGGTGACCTTAGCGTGTGACCTGTGCTAGGGGCTGAAATCCAGCCCCTTCCAGCCTGGATAAAGCTAACTGTAACTGTACTCATCATAAATTGGGAGTAAGCTTAAATAGGGTAATACAGATTGTCGTGTATCGGTATCATAGAGTCAAAGTAAAAGTGCGCTGTAGCAAATTTTGTCCAGTCGGTTGTAATCGAATAATATCGAATATACAAGCACTTCACATATTACAGTGCCCGCCAAATCATTAAGACCCCCGATTTGGCGGGACAATTCTGACAATATCTCGGCTTCTAGCCTGAGTTGAGAGCTGCTACTTTGATATGTTCTCTCTATTAGGCTTACAGAGGTGCCACTTGTGTTAACAACTTAGATTTCTATGTATCTGACAGGGCTGGTATACAAATTCAAGGTTTGGACATCAGCGTCAAATTATTAAGACCACATCCTTTTTATGACGAAAAAACACTTTTATGAACAGACCTTACAAATTTCTATATTAAAAGAGTGATGGTCAAAATAAGTAGATGGTTGGCGGAAATGAGCGGGTAGCTAGACGCTACGGAGGCTGTGAGCCTTTCATTTTCTAATGGGCCACGGCAAGACCCTCTCCCAACAAGAGTACTGGTTTATCGTCGGTCTTCACGACGGAGGCGTCTCTCTGCACGAGATCGCTAGGAAGACAGGTCGGTCCCGTACGTCTGCCGGAACGCAGTCAAGGCGGAGCGGGGACGGAAGGAAGACAGGGGTGGAGAGCGAAGGGCTGGGCGGCAACCGGCACTGACGGAACGAGAGCTGCGGCAGCTTGTGCGTGCCGCGGCGACAGGTGAGTTCTTTGCTGCGGAGCTCAAGACGAAGTTCGGCATCAAGGCGTCCGTGAGGACGATCCAGCGGGTTCTGCAGCGTGTGGACCATCTGGTTTACACCAAGATGAACCGCACGCTTCCCCTCACGGCAGCGCACAAGGCTGCCCGCATGCAATGGGCGGAAGATTACATACTGAAGCCAGGTAAGCCTCTCATATTAAAGTTTTGCTGCAATTTTGTATTATAACAATATTTATTTTTTTAGAAACTTGGATTTACACTATTTTTTCAGATGAAAAGAAGTTTAATCTAGATGGTCCTGATGGATTCAAGTATTACTGGCGGGACATGCGCCAGCCTGCACAGTCTTATCTGCGTCGCCAAAATGGAGGAGGGAGCGTCATGGTGTGGGGCGCTTTTAGTGCAGCAGGTAAGAGTGAGCTGGCCATCTTGCGTGGACGTCAGGTGACTATATTTACAAGTTATCTGAATATCTACTCCCTTTGCTCACGCTAACTATGGTGTTGACTTTGTATTCAGCAAGACAATGCTTCGATTCATGCCTCGCATGAAACGAAGCAATTCTTGCAGGAGATGCAACTCAACACCATGGCTTGGGCCAGCTCGCTCGCCTGACTGCAACCCCATCGATAACGTCTGGTCGGCGATGGCGGCCAAGGTGTATGCACATGGCCGCCAGTACCAAAACGTTGCTGATCTGGAGGCAGCAATCATGGCTGTGTGGTGTAGTAGAACACACAAATATCGTCAGATGTGGATTCCTTACACAAACCACAACGAATCGCCGAGTTAGGTCGGCGGTTTGTATGGCCTGCGCAGAGGGTGGTCCCCTCGCGATCCGGCCCTTCCGGGACAGACGAGTGGCTCGCTTCCACCCGGTTCCGACTAACCAAGTCAGATCACTTCCGAGGCTCCGCCGAGTTTGGTTCGGCTGAGCTCGTTCACAACCCTGTGCCCTCCACCAAAGGATGGACGACGGCGCGCGAGCGCTTTTACAGGTCACCGAGCGCAGAGGCAGCTCAGCTAGAAGTGTTACGGCACCCGGGCTTTCCGACGTACCGGCCCGCTGAGTATGCGGGACTTTCTTTCGCGCGTAGCGAGACTTTGTCCTACCCGGACCGACCTAATCTCTTGGCGCTACCAGTCAATACCCTACAAGCTATGCCTCTCGAGTATTGACGGCAGGCATAATCCAGCCCTATGCAGGGACTTACCGGAAAAGTGTACACGTGTTTTGGACTAGGAAAATTCTGCTCTGTTATCTTCTGGGAGCCCTTTCGGCTCCCCCTATTTAATCCTATGCTTCTCATACAAATATCTAATGAAATGTAGTCGTTTCGGATCTCTACCGACCCTTCAGCTGAGTTCCGGCGACCGTTGAGCTCAGCGGCTGTCCGGATAGCATATCCGGACAGATCGCCGAGTACTTACCGTGATCCTTGGCTCCTAAGCTCTGGGTTATCAGACCGAGCCGATTCTTGACCTAAAGTAGGTCGGCGTATGGTCGAATCTGGAAATCCCTACACCACAGCTGCATGGGACTCCATTCAGCTAGACTACTTGCTGAAGCTGATAGAGTCCATGCCTCGCCGCTGTCTAGCGGTGATCAAGAAGAAAGGTGGTCTGACTAAGTACTAATTTTTAATATAGAAATTTGTAAGGTCTGTTCATAAAAGTGTTTTTTCGTCATAAAAAGGATGTGGTCTTAATAATTTGACGCTGATGTCCAAACCTTGAATTTGTATACCAGCCCTGTCAGATACATAGAAATCTAAGTTGTTAACACAAGTGGCACCTCTGTAAGCCTAATAGAGAGAACATATCAAAGTAGCAGCTCTCAACTCAGGCTAGAAGCCGAGATATTGTCAGAATTGTCCCGCCAAATCGGGGGTCTTAATGATTTGGCGGGCACTGTAGATGCTTGGTCCTATATAATAAGACAGGGCTTCTAATATGTGAAGGGCTTGTGCACCAAAAACCCTAAATATGTGTAGGGCTTCTAATCGGTGAAATCCGCTATTAATAGCAGTACCGTATTCCTTATGTGATTGGCGACAGTCATATTCTTGAGTGTGGTCCAGCCTGTCCGCCACCATAAAAGATACCTGCATAAAAAACCGTGTAACGTGTGAAAAAATGTATTTGTCGCTAAGCACATTAAGCGCGACGACTCGAAATTTAAAACAATTTGATTGGCTGCTGGATTTGTCGCTAATGACCAAGCGTTCGCCAATCACATAAGGAATACGGTAATACTACGTTGTACCGGTACCTCTCAGTTCTTATCATTTGACAAGCCTTTAAAATGTGATGTAATCAGTGCCGTTCACAGAGTAGTATTTGTCAGGTGTAGAAGTTTACGAAAGCCCCACGCGCTACGTAGGCGCTGAGCACTAGTCTTGCGCTTAATGGCGACGCGATTTCTTCTTCTTAGACGAGCGACGATAATCTTCATCCTCATCCTCGTGACCACGCTTCTCGTTGCGCATTCGGTCAGACGCCTGTGCTTCCTTCTCAAGATCGTCCCAGGACGGCGCGTCCTCATCCTCTGACGGCTCCTCTGACGACGAATCCTCGTCCACAATGGACTCCCAGTCCGAGCCGTCAGAATCGCTCGAGTCGCTCTCTTCGTCGTCCTCTTCAGAAGCCCCAGAGTAATTGCTATCTCCCGCTTCTTCCTCATCATCATCTTCGTCATCCGAGCCTTCCATCTACAAATAACACAGCAGTATAAGCGACACCGTTCTCACACACACAGCTCAGCATCCTCAGCCGCACCTTGAGGAACTCCCAGCCTGCTGGCTTGGGCACTCCATCATCGTCAGTGTCCAGATAAAAGCGGTGGTCGCTCTTGATCGTAGACATGATACTCTTCCAGTTCAGGTTCGCAGTACCCGTAGTGAAGCAAATATCAATGTCGTCCAGCCACTCCTTGATCCGCTCCAGCTCGCTCATGGACACGGCACTGATACGCGTAGGCATGGTTTCGAAATTCTTGAAGACGAACACGACGTCAAAGTTTTTGGACGAGAACATGACACGCTCAAAGTGCACGTGCTCCACCTCGTCCAGCGAGATAATGAAGAACGGCATATCCGTCAGACTGACGAGACAGTGCACGGATGGCTGCAGCAACACCATCTCCTTGAACGGTGTACCCATGAAGCCCAGTTCACGGTACGGAATATCGAACACCACTGGCTTGCCATGTCTCTCCGACACGCTCTCCATCTTGTGACAGAACTCCTTGAACGTCGTGTTCAGCTTCTCACGCAGCGCGCGCTCGCGGTTCTCTTCGTCCAGCTCATCCGGGTCGTACATGGACCGTCGTCGGTTGTCCAGCGTCTGCGAGCCTTCGATGACTTCCGTGTAGAACTGCACGTCCTTCTGCTTCTTCTTGCCGATCATAATGTGATTCTTCAAGTGGAAGTGGATGAGCACCACCAGCTCCTTGTCGCAAGGCTGGAAGATCGCGTGCTTGATGTTGGCGTACAGAATGTCGAGCTTCTGGTTCTTGTTCGTCGTGAAACGCACGCCATTCGAGTGCGCTTCCAGTGTGCCGTGCGTCTTTCGTCCCGTCAGGTGCGGTCGAGCCGAGAGGTCAATGAGACGCGGCACACGGCGGTCACGCGTTAGGATCAAGTCTTCTTGGACAACCAGGTCGGACTCTTCCTGTTCGCGCTGTTCGCGCTGCTTCACACGCTTCTGGAGCTCCTTAATCAATCGGAACTGGTTGTTCAGATTGTGCGCGTCTGAGGAGCGGAAGCCCAGCTCCTTGATGAACATCTTGTTAGGGTACTTCGTGATCGCGTTCGCCATGGCCGGAAGCACGTCACGTCCCAGCGAAGTACCTGGCACGAAGAAGTTGATACGCAGGTACGTGGCCTTGTCTTCCTCAGATTTGCTCACGTTCTTGATCGTCGAAATGTGGAACGGCACGGGCACACCGTTAATGGGCAGAATGACAGCCTCGGCACGCATATCGACCATGACTTGGCGCTCACGAAGCTCCGACGGGTAGTCCTGCGGGCCTGGATACGCCTTGATGCTCTTCTCCTTCTTGTGGTCATCTGACTTGTCGCTGTTCTGCTCTTCCAGTCGACGCATGGCTTCCTCACGTTTCCTACGCATCAGTTCGGCCTGGTGACGATCACGACGCTCCTGGTCCGTCTCCTTGCCTTCCAGCTGTCGCTGTTGGTCACGCAGACGCGACTGCAGCACCTGGTTGCGTGTGCCAGACAGCGACGTGTCCACAGATCCATGGACGGAGCCGTCCTTGCTCTTGCTCGACTTCTTCTTGGACTTTTCTTTCTCTTCGTCGTTGTCTTCGATGTCGTAGCGCACTTTACCCCAAGCTTTCGGCACCTTCGTGTAGTACTTTGTCTCGTTCTCTAGCACAACGACAGTGTCGGCAAGGAACACCGCGTAGCTGTCCAGTTTCTTCTTCTTGCGCTGCGACTCCGGGATCGGGATGTCATTGAAGCCAAAGGCCACATTAAACGCCATCCCTTCCTTGATCAGCGTCTGGTTCTTGGTAGTGAGAAGGTTGCACGACTCGCGGAACTCCAGTCCAATGCCGAAGCCCAGATTCTTCGTGAGCTTACCGAACAGCGTCGCGTTCCTCGTCTGGATGAACTTGCGCACTTTTTCCACCACTTTTCCGACGATTTTCCCTGGCTGCAGCTCCTTGACGCACATCTCGTGGGCCTCACGCAGTAATTCGTAGGATTTCTCCATGGAACTGGTGGGGTCGATGAAAAATGTACGCCCCACATTGGAGCAGTATCCCTTGTATCTCGCTCCGAGCGAGCAGATGATGACGTCGTACTTCATGGAGTCCTTCGTGCTCTGCGCACTGGGCTTGAGGTCGTATTTGCCTCCGGATTGGACAATTGGAGGGTAACACGGCTCGATGTCCACTGGATCGATCGTCACCTTGATCTTGGATGGGTTATCGAACACGTCTTCAATGCCCATCGAGATCTTTTCGTGGCTGATGGACTTCTCGTCGTCGATGATCTGCTCCATGTCCTCCATGAACTTGAGCTTAAATACTTTACTGGACAGAGCGCCAGCCCAGCGGATGTTCTCCAGTTCTTCGGTCTCTTTAACTGTCAGCACCGTCTCGATCCCTTTGCCCACCTCCACTTGCTCTGCATCTGTGGCTTCCAGGGCCTTCTTGAAGCTCGCTACGAGCTCTCCAAGTGGGTTCTCCTTCGTGAGAACGCCAGTCTTGGCGCCACTGGCCGTGATGGCGTCTGTCAGGATCTTAAAGTTGGCCTGGTTACCGTCGGCTTTGTTGCGTTTGAGCAGCTCCAGCTTCACGTCCGACGTCGCGTTCTCCTTGGCTACAGCCTCCAGCATCGTGTATTTCTTACCCCCTGTGAGAACGTAGAGCTTCTGAGGCGTAAACACCATCAGAGTCTCGGGGAACTCCAGGAACCCCAGGAGATAGATCTGTAGCACTGCAGACTTGCGGTAACCAGACTCTTCCTGCTGTGCACGGCCCGCAAGCACGCAGAACGAGTCCACGCCGCCCCACGCAGAGTCGTTCTTGTGTTCCTGGGGCATTAACATTCAATTCGGATGAGTACAAAGGTAAAGAGCGGGAGAACGAACAATTTTTCTTACCTTCCACGAGTTGTAGAGACGCTGGAGACGACGAAAGAACATGGCTCCGTTCAGACGCGGCACGTTGGGCGCCGGGGCCGCCCCCTGCTCCGACTTGACCTCCGTCTTGATTTCCTGTTTCACCGTCACCGTGTCCTCCGCCATGGCTATAGGCTGCTGTGGACGAGGAAGCCGGACGCTCAAGCTTTTCCTCTGCTTCGCGCCAAATAATGGGCGAGCTCTTTGGCGCCAGCCCTTTTAGAAACGTTTCTTGTAGAAGCAAAAATGGGAAAGTTTCAGAGGAATAGATAAAAATTAAAAATGATCCTTTGTTCTCTGTACCCATTTAGGTATTTCTAATCACAAAGTGGACCACTTTACCTCTCAAATCCGATAGTACAAATATCTCCTCCGGCAGAGATAAACCAGGTCGGAAGAGGTCGTCGGTCGTCCATGCAGCTGCAGACGTTGGCGTACGCCATCTCCGGCGCCTTCACGCTGCTTTCCATTATCCTTTCGGGATGGCTCATCTGGACACACTTGCTGTACAATCCGTCAGCCGGCATCCGCAAGCACGTGATCCGCATCCTCATGATGGTCCCCATTTACGCGCTAACGTCCTACATGGCGCTGGTATTCAACGAGTCCAAACTGTTGTTCGAGACTGTGCGCGATCTGTACGAAGCCTTCGCGCTCTATTCGTTTCACTGCTTCCTGGTCGAGTATCTGGGTGGCCAATCCGTTCTAGCAAGCACCATGCGCTCCAAGCCGCAGATGACACACGTCTTCCCTTTCTGCTGTGTACAGCCGTGGTCCATGGGCGGCAAGTTCCTGCGTCAAACCACCATCGGCATCTTGCAGTACATTCCCATTAAGCTGCTTATGAGCATCGTCATGCTCATCACGAGCTTGGCAGGTGTATACGGAGAAGGAGAGCTCATGAACCCCCTAGTGAGCTACGGCTACGTGTGCTTTATCCTCAGTGCGTCGCAGACGTGGGCACTTTACTGTCTGCTGATATTCTTCCACGGAGCTCACGAGGAGTTGCAGCCCATGCGGCCATGGCCCAAGTTCCTGGCCATTAAGGCAATTATTTTCTTTACGTACTGGCAGTCGATCATGATTAGTGGACTTGTAAGTGTCGGGGTCATCTCGGAGAAGTGGCATATCGGCTGTCCGGACTGCTGGGACGCTCAGAAAATCGCCTCCGCACTGAATGACTTTGTCATCTGCGTCGAGATGCTGGGCTTTGCCATTGCCCACCACTACGCCTTCGCGATTGAAGACTTTTTGTCGCCGTCAGGTACGGCAGGTGTTAGTGTGCCGTCTTCGAACGTCAAGGCACCACTGCTGGCCAATTTTATGGACGCTATCAACGTGACGGACGTGTCGACAGACCTCAAGAACTCCCGGAACGAGATTCTCACCAAGAAACAGGCGCTGGCTGCCAAGTTCGAGCGCATGAACTCGACTTCACCTGGTGGTGGCATGTTTTAATAGCGTCAGTTAAAAGGGAGCGATACAGTAAGCACACGCGTAATTATTACATTTGGGATTGTACGTTTATGGGAAACTTTGATAGAAGAGAAGAAGTCAAGAAGACGGACAAGAACGATACGGTATGACACCGACCAAAAAGACATTTTCTTTACGGGGCGGGTCGAGGCCCCGTCTTCTAACACCGAGAGCTTTACAATCCTGTTTTCCCTGTTGCTGACTTCCCCTCCTAGGTATTTTAACTACACTACGCCTTCCGTCAGTTCAGCTGCGACTTCGTTCATCATGTGCCGTGTTTGTAAAAGCGCAGCACCACCGGCCGCTTGACGGCGCGCAGTGTCGCCATCGACGAGTGGAACGTCGAGCCGCTGATCTCCATAGGTCCAATCCACGTCAGCACGTCTCCTACCGACACTTTGTGCAGCATGGGACCACCCGAGTCCATATCCACTTTGGTCACCTTTGGTACATCGCTGTCCGAGCTAAACACCAGTCCAAGGTTGGCATTCTCTCGCCAAATGAGCTCGTACTCGCGGTCTTTCAGTGCTGGTCCACGTGGCAGCGTCTGGTCAGACTCGTCACTTCGCATTGAGGCATACGCTGCAGCTGAAGCACGTCGGAAACGCAGCACTGCTGGCTTCGGAAGACGCGACAAGTTCTCGAGCGTTTGCTTAAATTTGGGCTGCGGTACAATGTTCATGTTGTTGGCAGCGAACAAAATGTCGCCAGGAGACACGTGCTCGATGTTCTTGAGGTTGCTCGTGCCAGTCACACGCGCCACCACGGGAAATCGTGTGGTCGGATGCACACGTAGCGTCAGACCAAGCGCCGTACCCTCTGGCCATACCACTTCGTACACATCGCTGTCCTTCTCCTGTTCTTTTTCCTTGGATCGACTGGCTTCACTGGGCAGTTGAGGCGCTGAGCCATACCGATGTCCACTCCGAGACAATGGCTTCAACGGTGTGTCTTCAATCGGGTCACTTGTGGACTTTGCCAGCGGAGACTTGCGCAGTCCATGCTCCAAGTTGCGCAGTTTATTCTGTGTTTCAGCGATACGGTGGCTCATGTCGTTGCGATGAGGGCTACCGTGGTCCGGACTGTTCATTTTCCTAAGCGGAGGGTCCTTATTGGTGAGCATTACAGGTGCAGCCGTGTGGTGGCATCCTCTTGAGCCATGTGGCGCGACTCGTGACGTATTAGACACAGCGTTCGGTTGCCGTGCATCATGATGTGCCGATCGCTTGGCCTCCTGGTCGGTATGGCCTCGGTATTTACTTTGTGCTGCTTCCTGTGCCGCATACTGGTGAGACTGCGATGCGTGCGGTTGATGCTGTGGATGCTGTTGCTGTGATGCGTATGCCTGTCGGTCCTGGTGCTTCCTGGACTCCGTCTGCACCTTGGCAGTGGGGGCATTAGTGGCGTTCTCCTTGGCGTGACTACCAAGCGCTATACTCATCTTCTTCAGCGGATTAACGAACGTTCGAGGAGTGGGCAGAGGAGTTGCTGCTGGCTGTACTGGCTTCGGAGGGGACGGCGCGGGGGCAGGTGCTACGCTCTCGCTTGCAGAGGACGAAGAGGGGGGAGACGACGACGTGGAAGATGTGGATGTGGACGAAGATACCGACGTTGATGAGGACGCCAGAGACGAGGTCGAAGCTGTAAACTTGGACGCCGAATGGATGTCTGCAAAAGAAGATAAAGCTGCGATCGCGTCTTCGGGAGAGCCCTTCTTGAACCGAATGACTAGCGGACGCTTGGCTGTGCGCAACTTGAGCAGGGATTCATGGAAGGTCAAGTCCTTCACACAGTCGTCATTTATCCACATGATGCGATCTGCGGAGCTCACAAACGCCGCCACGTTGTTCGGCGCGCCCTTAATCTTCACCTTGATGGATTTCGCACTGCCCAAGTCGGCAACAACCATGCGGCCAGCTACATTCGGTCGTACAGTGAAGCACAGCGGCTGTTTCTTCTCCCAGATGTGGTCGTATTCATCCTCTGCCGGGTCTGGACGCGCAGAAACCTTCTTGTTACCTGGACAGAAGAAGAGCGATACCGGTTTCTGTACCTTTTGCAGGAACTTAATCGCTGTGTTAAAATTGCCGTCTGCAGTGTTGTAGCTGCCGATCTGAACGAGGTAGTGGCCTGGCTGTACGTCCTGCACCTGTGGCGAGCGGTTCTTCCCGGTGATACGCGTCACAAGCGGGTACGGCACGTCCTTGCTCGCAATCAGACTAATCCCCAGAGGTCCGTCAATCCACTTGATCTCGTACTTGGCCTCCAACTTCACTGCCGGTTGCGGAGGGAATTTTTCGTTCTCTGCTGCTGTCAGTTCCTCGAATTTCGCCGCCAGCTTCAATCCAATCGCGCTCTTTACCTTCGGTTGTACCGGTTTTACCGACATGGGGTCTGCCAAGAGTCTCCTGAACACCAGTTTGCACGGCTTGGGCACTTCTTTCAGGTAGTTAATCGCGTTTAAGAAGTCCATATCGCGAGTCACGCGATCTCCAATTTTCAGCAACAAATCGCCCACTTCCACGAGATGAACGCCGAAAATCGAGCTTTTGCCGGTAATTTTCGACACGGCCGGCATCATCCTCGACTGCGAGTGGCGCAGTCGCAGTCCCAGTAGTCCTCCTTCCCAGATCAACGTGCACATGTTGCCTGTCGCGTTATTGGAGACACTGGACGTGCTGCCACTCATAGACGCCAGCAAATCCAAGGAGGAGCGTCTCAAATGAACAAACTCTTCCTCGGCTGGCGCGTGTTCATTCGGTTTGATCTTATCGTCTGCGGTAGTGACCTCAGTTAGGTCTTTTGTACCCAAATCGAGGTCCAAATCGAGATTTTCTAGATCCTCTAAGTCGTCCAGATCGCCTTCGTCCACCGAGCCGCTGGCGCTACGAGCGCGTTCGCTGCCTGATGACAGCGTGTCGTCATTAGCATCGTCGTCCAGGTCCATGTCCAGGCTCTCCAAGATGTCCGCGAGACTGTCGCGGCCGCCACTGACGCTGCCAGAGCCCATTGCGGGCGTGTCGTCTACGTCCATCGTTTCCTCGCGCGCCTGTTTGGATAACGAGCCGCGCTCGGGCGCCACAGCTCCGGACGGGATCATGATGAGGTCGTCCAGCATGTCGAAGACGTTGTCGCCCAAGTCGGGCTCCACCTTCGCCAGCGACGACGTTAGCGACTGGCGCGAGCCGAGCTGCATGCTCATCTCCATCTGCAGCTGCATCTGCTGCTGGATCTTCTGGTGCAGGTCGAGCTGGTGCGCCAGCAGCTCCTCGTTGGTCATGGGCCCCGAAGAGCTGGCGCCGTCCTGCGCGGACGCGGCGAACATTCCTACGTCTGCTACAGGAGGGGGGAAAGCGACTGAGTGTATTGTACACCGAGCGAACGTTGTAAAGTTGTAATGTATGCGGTTTGAGATGGAAATCAGTACTATGAATTGTATGGGAAGAGCCCTAACCACTCAGGCTTATGTGCTTGTTGGCGGAAATACAGAGCGGCACCTCTCCCGAAGTCCGCGACAACATTGAGAGGACATTTCTGAACACACCGTCACAGATGCCCGATCTGCGACGTGTGCGAATTGAGGTCGAGGTTGCTGTGCTGTAAGCACCCTGGGGCCTGAAAGCAAGAAGCGAACGAGCGGCTGCACGGTGGGGTGTGCGGTCTTCATTGGATTCGACGCGACAGCGATCGTTCAGCGGAGACTGGAAACTGAAGCTGGAGAGAAAGAGAGATCCGGTGTGTCGTTATTCGTCCTGAGGCGACCAAACGGGGCGTTGACATTGACAGTCTGGAACAGGGGTCGGAAAAAAATAATGCACTTCAATATATTAATCAAACTACATGTAGTTTAACGTGGTCAAAATTAGCAAAGCGGGCGTTTCGACTCGAGTGCCGAGCTCACAACTTTCGAGTACATGCAGTTTGGAACGGAATCCGTAAATAATCCGACTGCGTTGTCATCTCCCCCGAGAACAGAACCAAGAAACGCACTTTGGCAAAAAGAAGCCTGATCTTGCTAGACGCTGATATCTATTAAATATAATGCAGCGGAGTCGAATCATCTCCGGTACGACAGTTCCAGCGAAGATACCCCACATTCTGTGCTGACTTGACCCCGCTCACTCTGTAGAGCACCCGACGGCCGAGTCGAATCCATTCACTCTTCCGTCCGATGAGGAAGTTTTTCGTATGCGTGAGACGGAGAAGCAGCGGAAGGAAGAGGTGCGTATGAGCAGATAGATCTACATACCGGTATGCTCAAGCTCCTGTCGTGGTAGTCTCATGGAAATCATAAATTTACAGGAGAAGAACAAAAACTCTCGACGCAAAATTTACGATAAGACCACGGCATCGTCCAAGATCGGAAACATTCGTCGCTTCCGCTCTGATGACGCGGTGAGGCAATGATCAGTATCCAAGAACTTTTAATATGTGTCTTATCTGGATCGTTTTGGCCTGTAGCCGACTGGCATCGACAACTATGCAGCGTCTCAGTCTCGTCAAACGCGCGGCCTCGTTGCCGCAGCGACTGCCACTATCTCGAACGATCGACTTCGAGAAAAGGAGAACATGTCCGATTTCATTGCCAAGAAGCGCGAGATGTTCCTCGTGCAGATGTCGCTCGATACAAAGCGTGAAGAGATCCGCAAGCTCGAAGAGAAGGCTCAGCTAAAAGAAGAAGCATTGAAGAAGAGCGAACTGATGCTCGAAGAAGATGCCGTTCGCTTCGATACGTTTTTAAAGGAGAACGACAAGAAAGCGCACGAGGCAATCAAGCGAGCCGAGAAGGAGACCAAGGCCAAAGCTGATAAAGTGCAGGAGATCAAGAAACTCAACCAGCAAATCCAACTCGTACAGAGCGACATGTCCAAGCTCAGCGAGCAGCTACAAGACTGTCTTCAGTACAAGGCCTTCCTGGATGAACTCACTCCTCAAGAGTACGAGATCGAGCAGCAAGACAAGAAGCGAGCTCGACAAATGGCTCGCCTACAGAAGCGCAAGGACAAGATCTTGCGTGAGTGGGAGCTGCAGAAAGCCAAAGTGCTAGCCGAGATCGAAGAGCGTGAACGGGCCGAAAAAGAGCGTCCGGAGTCCAAGAACGGCAAGAAGAAAGTCGACAAAGCCGTCAAAGTCAAGGAGATCACGATCCCTCCGATGCCCAATCTGGACAACATGCCGCTTACTAGCAGTGGAGAGGAGATCCCCATGTACTTCCAGAACCCACAGCAATTACTTGACATCTTTACTGCGCTAGAAGAGAGCAATCTCTTCTTAATCCAGAACAGTCAAGAGACCGAACAAACACTTGAAGAACTCAAGCAAAACTACCGTGAGACCAAGAAGACCATGGATCGGAAGACGCAGACACTCAAGACGAACGTCGATGGGTTGCAGCAGCAGATCAGCGTCGAGGAGAGCAAGGCCAGTCAACTTCGTCTAAGGTCCCAAGGGGGTTCGGGTGAGAACGCTCAGGAGCGAATGCTCAAGGAGCTACAAGATCGAGTGCTGGATGTGTATAAGCGTTGTGGCTTTGAAGCCGAGACCAACTCGTCGACACTGTACATGCTCACAGATCTGGAAGCTCGTCTGGAAGATCTCTTGAGTGCAATCGAGCAGATGCCCGAGGACTATGTGGCAAAGGCGGAGAAGGAGAAGGAAAAGGAGCGTCGAGAACGTGTCCGTCAAGAACGGATCGCCCAGCAGCAGAAAATGTACGAAGAGCGCATGAAAAAGTCCATGGAGAGAAGTATGCAGGCTCCCAAAAAGCGGAAGGGGAGACAAGTCATGTGGAGATCGCAGCCCGCTCGACACATCAAACACGCTGAAGACGACAACAAAGTGGACCAAGGAGACGAGGCTGACCACCACCATTTCATCTGGTAAGAGTGGGGATACTGTACTCGTGCACAATGAAATAAATTCATTTTCACCTTGGTGCGTCATGGATTCCATCCTCCAAGTTTACGACTCTGAAGCGAGCTGCTGCTGGTTTGTTCTCGGGTGTGCCACGGATGATGCTGAGCTTGCTGTCACTTAAGGGTTCTTTGCTGGTCACCCAGCCGCCAAGTCCAAAGTAGCTGGATAAACAGAACAGCGGTGTGCTGGCCTTGGATTCCACGAGAAAATGTTCGTACGAGTTGAAATCTGCTCCTTGTACTTTCAAGTTCCCGTATCGGTTGACACCCAAAAAGTTACTCGACTTTTCACTTTGGAACCCCCACACATCGCTGTCATCGCCCAGAGTGTACGCACGAAATGTACAGCCATCTACAACAACATCGGCACTACAAAACCATAACAGTTATGTTAGAATATCTCGTACACGACACAATTGTCTCATTCAGCATCTCACACACCTCAGCAGAGCCTCTCCGTCCACATCACGCAGAAATCTTCTGCTTTGGGCCTCTTGGAATGCACAACGGAAGCGGAACACCACGGGGGCTTTCTTTCCCATGATCTTGTTGGCTTGGATCCCCACTTTCTTCATGTCGTGGTGAACACGCCCAATTTTCGAGTCCAATCGACCCAACTGCTCGTTCTGCGTGTCCAGCGCACTCCCCAATGCCAGCGACTGTTGCTTCAGCTCGGTCAGTTGCGGCACCAAGTCGCGAAGAAATTTATCATGGACGTCTTCGTAGGACTCTTCCACTCGACTCTGCAGTTGGAATCGGCCATTGTTCGGTGGTCTTTCTGCTGACTTGGGGGATGCGTGTGACGCGCTCTCGTGGACATTGCCGTAGTGCGTTCCCAGTTGCTCAGCAGATTGGAACTTGACCTTGCATTCTGGACAAATAAACCCCATGGCAATCTACACAGCAACCTGGTTAGAGTCCGTCATCATAACGTTCAATACACTTGAGTTGACCATACTTCGTGAACTTCTTTACTGTTTGAAAGCTGCGGCGTTGTTGAGAGTTTGTTGTAGAACCAGCCAGACCACGTCATCCCGCGGAGAACTCGCTTGGACATGTCCACAGTCGCCTGGGTCTCGTCTACCATGCCCTCGCTTCGGCCGAGCTGTTCGGCCTGCATGCTGAGGGTGTGTGCTGTGGCCCTCCCCAGTTGCAGAGACTCTGCCGTGTCCCGCAGCGCCTGCGTGTGGCGCTGTTCCCATTCATGCTGAGGTACTGCCTGGCGCTGCGTCGCCATTATGGTGTGGGAGAATTTAAAATCGATACATGGAATTCGTACTTAAGAAAATCCATAGATAAGTCAAGTCGAAGTCGACTCTGCCACTTCAACACGATTTCACTCCGTCAAATGTCTGAGATGCGAGCAGTCAAGTACACTGGTGTTCTTAGCGAGCTTTTCATGTTCAGCGGCAATTTCTCCTTCCGTAACACGCTGCAGTCTCAATGAGATCTGTAGTGAGCCGTTTCTCGAAGCCAGAATGTGTCTTACATGCTGCAGGTGCATCATGAAAGCCAAAAGCCCGTGGAAAAAAGGTCGAACATCAGGATTGTCATGGGGCCATTTTGGGTGAGCAAAATACGCATCCACAACTTCTGCAGTCGCTGCACTGATCTGCAGCGGGTAACAGTGCTGTAAATGGGCGCTTAGTTGAACAGGATCCTGCAGAAAGCTGCACGCAGCACTCCAACTGGAGGCTCCGACGATTTCTCGAGGCTTCTGCCACGCGTTGTCAGGGTGCAGAAGCACTTGCGTGACCTCAACCAGCACAGCCTCAGCCACAAGGTAAGCGTCGAACGCAGACGCATGATCATTCTCTTCGTTGTCACCCTCGTCTAAGCGTACTGGATCGAGCTCGGCTATTTGACACGCTGCTTGGTTTAATCCCTGAATTGCCTCTAGGAGATCGCAGTCACGGTGACCTCGATCGTCCATCACGACATCATTCTGGTCACCAACAAGATACGCCACGTGACACGGAAGATTGTGGTGATCTGGATATAGCCACCAATGGAGCTCATGGACAAATAAATTGGCGTTGCACACGGTCAGACCACAGTTAGCGTTGAAGAGGACAGCGACCTGATCCCGAGCTAGTGCAAGCAGAAGGGTTTCTCGCGTATGCTCAGCAATTGTGTGGTCTTTGCCTCCTTCAAAACCCAGGAAGCCGTTTTTGCTGCAATCAAAAGATGCAAAGTACTGCCCCAACATCGGCAGTAGCCACATCGTCGTCGATGAAGACATCGCAGACCCAAGAACGAGTACAATTGGCGGGACAAGCGTTGTGCATCGTCCACAGTATCCATCGTAAATCAACTCTAATGAACCTGGAGCGACAGCCCCAGCATGGATGATAAGCTCTTTAATTGCGTGTAGCCGTCGAAGTTGAATCGTATCGCATTCAGAGCAGGCTGAAGAGTGTTCGAGTGTTGTGTCCGGCACAGGGCAAATATCTTGCTCGAATATCCTCGTACGGGCATCCGTATACGCCAAACACGAAGAACACTCTTCGTCTTCGCTAAGAGTCGAACCTGCAGCAAAACGACGCGACGCGTTGACGCAGCGAACATATTCTGAAAGTGGGATACGTAGAGACTGTCGTACTGGTGTACCACCCAGTGAAAAAGAAGAAGAGAAGGTCGGATGGAGCCACGTGATTTCGAGCAGCAAATGTGCTCGAAATTCAGTCTTCTGCTGGACGATAAAGACCGCGATAAAGCAGAAAACACCACTGATTTTGCACGCATACTTAGCCAGTCGTAGCACACGGACGTAGTTCGCAAGTTTGCCTGCCCATTTGGGTGATACAGTCGCTTTCCACTTGAATTGTGTAGCCTCGCTCATCTCTTGTGTCGGTTCTGCATTTCGAGTCTGTTCGAAGCGAATCAACGACATCAAATCTGCAAAATTCGAAGATGAAAGACGGACATTATACGGGTTGACGGTGCGCTTGTAGAGCACCAGTCTGCTTACACACGAGTGACTAACTTGTTGTGAAGGGTCTCCTTTTCTGGATTTGGGGAGAAGCTCCACCGTGTACTCAATCTCACTTGTATCGTACATGTGAAGAATATACCTCCCTCGATTCACAACAACCTCGCTCGAGTAAATTCTTTGTCCCATGTCAGCAGTCAGTATCGATGAAGCCTCATCTTTCTGCTGCTCGTGAGCCTGGTGCTTCCATACTATCATTGCATGATCTGACGACCTCCACTGGACGTCAAGATCAGTACCAATAACCAAACTACGAGCTGCCACGACATGTTCCGTGAGTACAAAGTCGTGACTATGCCAAGAGCCCACCACGAAGCGCACATTCGACCGGTCATTTGTTCTTAGATACACTGACACAAGCGAATAGCTATCCGTCGATGATCCTGTCGTCTTAACCCCTTCTTTATGAAGACAAACGAGCGTTTGGTCGTTTTCACGTATGCGAAGTGGAGGAGGACACGGGGCTCCAGACCAGACAAGACGGAATTGTCTACGTCGCTTCTCGTACAGCAGACAGAGCCACTTACTGAAAGCCCCCAGCCCCTCACATGTGCGGCCATACCCTAGGGAATTGAACTCTCGAAGTGACATTACCAGGGTGAATGTAGCAGACGAACGCGGGTCATATGCCACGACACGAAGCCCCTCCAAATCGTACCGCTGAGCGTTCCGAGTGTACACAGATATCAAATACCGCTTCCCGTTCATTGCGTGCATGCACTTGAAGATAGCGCATGAAGCTATTCGGTCCAAAAGCTCTTTGTTAGCCTTTAATTGCGCTTTTCTCTTTGACTCGCGTTCCACAGTCCTAGACAGTATATCTTCCCATATCATTGCCACATTTTCAGCTCGTCTGCAGTCTAACCTGAGCTCGGATTCTCTGACCATTCGAGCTTGCTGTTCGAGCCGAGCTCGTTTCAGATAAATCATTCGCTGACGCTTCTCTTCGAGCTGGTGGCGAAGAATCTCGGGACTCACTTGGTTTTCTTCAGGAAGAGTCGAGTTCTTGTTTATGATCAAGCGAATATCACTTTCGATGTCCGCTGTGACGTCGTCGTGGAATAAATTATTTGACTTCTCTGAGCCAACAGCGACAGCGGACTGATGCTGTTGTAGTGGCTTCTTTTTCTTCAGTCGCAACTTGTCACTTCGCTCTGCAGTCTTTTTGCGGACCCCTTCACGCCTTGACGCTTCCTCCTCCTTCTTCCTGTTGTGCCTAGTTACTCGTTGCCTCTCCTAATCAGGCGAAAGCTTTTAGGATTAATCACTACAACAAAAACTTTGGCTGAGTTAGGTACTACCTTTTCCACCCTCAACTCACTCATTCGACATTTGCCTTCGTCCAAGACGTCGCCCAAGTGATTCTCCTCACCCTTTAGCACTGCGACACAATGCTCCAATTTGTCTACCAGTTTGTCAAGTAGGTCAAGAGCCTCTTGTCGGTACTTCTCACGACATAGCCTATAAAGGTGAACTCGTTGAAGCATCCTTATCATCTAGAGACAACGAAGTGGCACCCTACCTGTCACGTTGATCATTCGTGCGATCACCGTCGCGGTTTAGTTGTGTCCATTGCATCTTAAGAACACGAGATGATTCACGTTCGTCGGGCTACAATCAAATCGACATAAGAAGAACACTAAAGTACCTGGTTCCTCAAATCTCGAACTGAGCGTTCGACCTGCAAGCGTTCTCGACGTATGAGAGAGGATCGGTACTCCGCTGTTCTGCATGTGCAACGTCTTCGTTAGCTTTCCCGATCAGCAAATTATCACTCCACGGTGACGTACTTTTGTTGTGAGTTTAATACAGCTATCGCATCGTACACTGCCAGAGATTCTGCGTAACTAGCAACATCACGGCGCTTAAATGTCGAGGGTCCTCGGTCCACATACTCTCGGACTACCTTCAGTGCTCGCAACCGACCGTGAAAACTCTCTTCATCCAATAGTATTTGCTGAGCAGCAGCAATACGCGAGCCATCCGTGACGTCATCTTCCGGACTGATGCTATCCAAAGGCTTTATTAGAGAGAGAATTGCTACGGATTCCACTGGCTTCGACACTTTCAAGACATTATCTTTACTCCTAGTATTCTGACGCCAGCTGGCAGAGCTCCAATACTTTAGTGAGCGATCGTCATGGACGTCAATGTCAAGTTGGGAGCTGACAATGTCGTCAAGTGCCTTGTCAACGATGAATGGATTACGAAGAAGACGGAATCCAAGCCATTCCACCAACTCTCCAACCTGGTCTAGAAAATCGAGATCTTCACACATGCTTAGCAAATAGTTTTCGTGGTCGTAAACGAAGGGCCAAGGTATTCCATCGTGCACAGCTTTTCGCCACGCCTGAATGTTCTCCACGACATCCAAAGAAGCCGCTCGTGTAAGTAAGAGTAAATCACCCAATACGTGGATTTCCTTGCCTTCCACAGATTTTGGAGCTTGAGCTGCCGTATTCGTTACTTTATTTTGTTTTGATTTCGTAAGAGTCTGAGGTCTCTTCTTACACATCGGTTTCCCCGTTGATAAATCCGTCCTTATAGTTGGAGTAATGATTGAGAGCAATGCACGGAGCTTCGCCTTGTACTCCTCTCTCACCTTAATACAGCTCGACACCGCAAATTCTACCTCGATTGTTCTCCCGGCCACGTGCTTTCCGAGGCCTGGTTGCTGGATCGAGTTCATGAGGTGTCTCGTTGTTTTTATATTCTGGTAGTGTACCCATTAATTCGAGATTATGTGCGCACACCAATAGTAGTTATCGATTCGATACAAATTTTAATGAAAAGGTCTAACAATTTGTAAAAACTTCACAGTTTCACTTCACAGCAAAGGTTTGGCATGGGTATAAACTTTTAGAAACTTGGTGTACGAGACATAATATAGCTTGCCAAAGAGATGTTCTCTTAGAAAATTTGCTTTTTTTCAGTTTTTTTACACGGCTAGGTGTTGTGCAAGAATATCACTATTATACTGGGATAGTCTGGAAGGCTAGCCAGCCCAAATCGGATTAATTCGTCGCGGTAGCTGAAGCCGGTAACTGAAGCCGATAGACTGAAGCCGGTAGCTGTCCGGTTTACCGGGTAACTGTTCGATTTGAGCGAGAACAAGGAACGGACTAGACCAGGTGCAGCACAGCTTGAGCTTCGAGGTCTTCAGCTTTACCCTGGCGCCCTGACATGCGGCGGCATCTGCAGCAGCAGCACGCTGTACTGCTGAGCTCGGACGACGGAGGCCGTAAGCTGTAGTAGTAGTAGTAGTAGAAATGCTATGTCTACACAAGTACTAAGATGTGTGTTTTTCCTCTTGCTGTTGCAGAGGAATTGCGAACGTATTTGTGTTTCCGGCGAGGATATTACAGGCTCCAAATGGTCGATTATCAGAAAACTGGCAATTGGATTGACGTGAAGTATATCCCAACGTGGAGAAAAGACCGAGATGAATTCTTTCACGTGTCGCCATCGAGTGGCAAAGCTAGGGATGCATACGAATGTGTACATGTCGCCTGCGTATCCGTTCCCACGCAAACAGGGAAGTATGTGGAATGCCAGTATGGCGAGATGGAGTTTTTTGCAGCCTTAAATTGTCGAATGCTGTTTTTTTTCACCCGTACAAGAACCAAAGCTTGATGTCGCCGTAGGAGTACGCATACGGCGACCAACTTTACTATTTGGAGATAAAATTTACTATTTGCTTTCTGAGCTCGTACGAGACCACGAAAGAATACCACTTTGCAAAAGATGTCATGCCAACCCGCGTGAAAATGAGTTTAGTGTCGCTATGCGGCTACGATCAGTTAAGTGCGATAACTCAATTGTTACTGCAATTATTGCAGCAAATAGTGCGAAGCCAATGCTGGATCGGAGCAGCGTGATTCGCCGGTACGTGATTAGGCCTTCACTGTATTCGTCACAATTAATTTACTGCGTGTATTGACCAATCTTTAAGCAGCGGAATTCTGCACTAGTCTCTTTCAATCGATCGCGCGCGTGCGTTAGGGCGTAAGTCTTTAAGTATCAGTTCAATCCGGTGACGAAGATGCAGTCGTGTATAGGTTCATTTCCCAAAGAAATTGGACGATGGAAGGCGAGCGTGCTGAAGAACGAAGGGCGAGACGATGTGCTCAGCAACGCGTCCGACGCGCGCGCCAGCGTGAAACCCCCGCTGCTACTCAGGAGCAATCAGTAGCTACAAGGACCGAAGAAGTACGGATAAGAAGAAACACTCAGCAACGCTTGCGACGTATCCTGCAACGCGAGTCTCGCGCTGCTGTTGAAGAATCAGCTACGGCGAGTACTTTGCGAGCGAGACGAAGACATCAGCAGCAAGTACGGCGTGCGCAACGACTTCAGGAACCGCTCGACGCAGAAGAGCGGGCCGAGCAAGAGAGGCAAGTGCGCCGGGAGTTATGTAATCGGCGACGAGAGGTAGAGGGTGATTTGGTGCGTGAACTTAGTGAGGGAATACTCACTGTGTCTTCGCTGACTAACGACGATATCCAATGGTTGGCTAAAGGGCAACGGTATTAGAAGGACCCGCGTTTGGCTTTGGCTTATTATTATTGTTGTGGTGTCGATTCTGGTGACGTCATCGTTCCTGGAAACAGTTGCTTCTTCTCCGGCGGCCGGATAAAACCTGCGTTTTCGGCGAAGAATTGCGTTGAGATATCCTTCGGATCCAATGCGGATATTCACCTGGCCCAAACTCCTTTGTTGGATGCCCCGCAAATACCTACCGTTACAATAGCCAACCTTGCGGCAGTTGAGGACGGGTCTGTAACAACAACTATTGCTATTGTGCATCGGTCGGGCTCGGTGAAGCGTATAGTAACGCGGAAGGGGAAAACGACTGATAAGCGAGAGCTACTCCTTGTTGATGATTCTGGGTACCAAATAGTTTGTACGACGTGGGGTCACCTCGCCAATGGAGACATTTTACAAGGCAGCGTCGTCGTTGTGAGAAATGCTACGCTTTCTACGTACAACAAACTCCGGTATGTTTCAGTTGGTCCTGCATCGGAGATTCTACACGAACCTGCGATCGATCGCGCCGACCTACTCCGTAATTGGTACGGTGGTTTGGCGCCATCCCATACGTTCTCACCTCTTTCCGGGCTTTAAACTTAGCGTTTCGTACACGACAATTTTGCATTTTTTTAATAAAAAAGTAAGAAAACAATACATTTTCGCTTTTTTAAACTATCCCAGCCTTCGCTTCGCCCTAGTTAGTAGATCTAAAAAACTATAAAGGTCTGTAGACAAATCTGTTGAGGCCCCACGTAGCGCCACAGCGGCATCATCCGTCTACCTCTAGCCCCTGTTCGGTAGAAGCTGCAGTGGTTTCAATGCCTTGCTGCTGCCACTTGACGCAGCATCGAGACGCTGAGGATCCTGGACATGGTGATTTCGGAGCTCTCCCTCATCATGTGGTATTTTTCGCGAAGTGATTAGTCCGCTCGAATGTGTCGTTAGGTCGTGTTGGGCCAGCCGCCGCGGGCATCACTAGTGGTGGTCTCGACTGGCCCAAAACTTCCCCGAGCAGAGCGGAGATAAGAACATAAGTGGACGATAAGTAGACGAGCAGAAGAGTAGACGTATCATGAAGGTAGAGCAAAGATAACCGCAGCAGCTCACTGGCGACGAAGTATAGAGCCCTCGGGTGGTGGTCGCAGCAGCTAATGAGCTCGCTGAGAAATTGTGGCTGTGAGCTTTTGAAAGGAACAATCTTTCCAGTGATAGAAAATGATACAAATCGTATTACCTTTTAAACAGATTTAAAAATTCTAGATGTGCTGGAATTTAGTGTGGTAACGTATCTTATCTGATATATATGATCGTTAGAACAGATACCGGTACGGTAAAATTCAACCGCACTACCAGCTCAAGTCTCTCTTTTTAATGGGCGCAATAATCTGCACAGATTCATACTCGACGTAGTGATGCTATTGATATGCTTGTGTGGTATAATAGCTTTTACAGCTGCATTGTATTACTAATAATAATACATAGCGTGATATTTTGATAGAAACGATTGATCGACATTTTTTTAAGCACTAAGCACATTACAAGTATAGTAGAAGAGCCTCGTGCTACCAGCTCCTATGTGAAATGTTATTACTACCTCCGCTCGGAAAAAGATAACCATTTGTTTTTTTTGCGCAGCGCTCCGCCTCGTTCATTTGAGCGTTTATTAATTTGTGAGAGGCTGGCTAGCTAGCTTTATGACCGAGAGCAGGCAGTGAGAAACTAAGCAAGGCACAGGCGTTCTTGCTCCGCCGTACAACTACAGATACAAAAACGGATCTAAGACGGCAACTACATCGCCACATTCTGAAGGGGCGCTCAGTGGGGCTTCTGGAACTTCAGCGGTAGGCGGTGGGGGGCTGCTCGCTGCAAGAAGCAGCATGTATGCGTTAGCATTGGCGAGTGAGGTAGCGTCACAAGGCAGTGACGTAGGGAGAGTGCCAGCTCGTACTTGCTTGTCCTTGTGCCGGAGGCGCGCCAACTTGTGCGTGGGTGTAAGTAGTGGGCGGGTCTGTCTGAGCGCACGCCGTATGTAACCTTCCTTGATCAGCTGCTGAACCAGGTAGCAGCTCATGTTGGACGCGCGCTTAAGCAGACGCTTGTCTTCGCGCTCATTGACAGGAACTGCAGCGATTCTCTCGCACAGCTCAGCTCGAACCACCTTCTTCCTACCACATGCGCTCTTTCTTGACTTGACCACGGCTGCTACTCGATCTCCCATCGAATTGATTCCACGCCTCCAAATTCGCTCGACAACTTGGCGGCCCACACGGAAGTACGCTGCAACCCGAGCGATCTCTCCATGTTTGAGCACTCCTCCCACGCTGCGAAACAGTAAGGTCTCCCAGACGGCCTGGCGCTCACTGTCTGTGATCTCCCCCAGGTCCCAGCTTTCATTTTGAAAGCTGGCACCCAGTCTGGTCGGGAAAGCGCGGGAGATTCGAAATCCAAAAAGTGATCGGCATAGAGCGGGTATTGTTTTGGGTAGGCTGTAATGTAATTTGACTCTTTTTCAGAACGGAGGTAGTATTCGAGTTACTGCTTACTTAAATCCAAAAGAACTGGTTTTCCACTCTCTGAACGCTATTCGACAATGTGCTTGCAGTTTTCTTAGACCGGGTCAGTCCCGCCTGCACCCTAGTTTTTTTTTGGATTCCGACTCCGAGCTCTACACGTGCGGCTTCGGTGGACGCTGTAGGGACTTCAGGCGTGGCGAACAGCTGTGCACGGCCCTACGTCTACGAGCACGAAAATTTATTTGCTAAGCATGTGTGAAGATCTCGATTTTCTAGACCAGGTTGGAGAGCTGGTGGAATGGCTTGTATTATGTCTTCTTCGCAATCCATTTATCGTTAAGAAGGCACTTGTCGGAATTGTCAGGTCTCAGCTTGATTTTAATGATCATGATGATGGCTCACTGAAGTATTGGAGTTCGGCCAGAATACGAAGCTTGCTTGGAGCAAATATGATGTTTTGAAAGCGTCAAAGCCAATGGAGTCCCAATGAGCTCAACTTGTAATGCGCCGCCTAATCAAAGTAGATGCGAGCTCTAAGTTTGTTTGAGAATCGCACCCTTTTTCCGTTGTTGACATGCTTGACTGCTCCCCCTCCCGCCTTCTTGTAGTCGTTTAAGTAACTGAAGAGCAGCGATGCCCAGCGTTTGTTGTGTGGGTGAACGTCAAGGACTTCCCTGATATGCCCGACTGTGTAGGCGTCCCACTTCTTGAACATGCTGTTCTTGAATCGGTTATTCAGCTTCATTAGATTTAAGTTAATCTGTGAAAAATCTCCCCTTGCTTCATCATCCGCAGTGGTCGTAACACGAAGAAACCTTTCGGAAGTGCTACTTGGACTCTGATCGGCAGATACATGTACATCGTTGACTAGTGCCAAAATAATTAGAGCAACCAGCAAGATTATAAGACGCATGGGTCAGCTAAGTAAGTCCGCCCGGGAAAGCAAATTGCAAAATGAATGGCACAAGTGAACAAGACCTTGATAAGTTACTACTACTACATGTAGTAATGGCACAAGTGAACAAGACCTTGATACTACTAGTACTTCTATGTACTGTACAAGCTGTACAGGTGTCGCGTAACGATTCGTGTACTGTACCTATTATAGCCAGTTACCACATAGGGGGAAGAGATAAAGTCTGTATTCAGGGGCTAATGGTAACCAAATATCATATGATATTTTTGATAGTAATAGTACTATTTTCGATATTAAATATTAATAGTAACTCATTTTTGCAAAAGCTAACATAATATTTTTATATTAGCTCGGAGAACTGAAAAATATTAGATACTACATGATATTTTATGATATTTCCCACTTAAGTACGTTTCTTGCCAGCTTACCTCTGTGA